TGTCTGAGTGTTTAAAGAATACAGAAATTATAGCCTTGGGGTATTTCAGTGGTCAAGGAAATAGGGATTGCTTAACAATATGACATTTTAAATAAGTGTCACGTTCTTGAAATCTGTAATTGTTTAACTTGTGTGTTTGCTATTTACCTTGGGTGAAGTCACTGATCTCAGCTTTAGATCTGTGCAGATAATCCTTGACTTACAACATTTGTTAGCAACTGTTTGAAGTTACAATGGCACTGAATATATAGCTAGTCTTTGACTTACAACAGTTCATTTAGTGACCAATCAAAGTTACAGCGGCACTGAAAAAAGTGACTTATGACCGTTTTTCACACTTATGACCATTGCAGCATCCCCATGGTCACATGATCAAAATTCAGACACTTGGCAACTGATTCATATTTATGACAGATGAAATGTCCTGGGGTCATGTGATCCCCTTTTGTGGCAAGACTCACTCATCAACTGCCTTGCTTAGCAGTGGAGATTCTGGTCCCAATTGTGAAATACCAAATTATATCTAATTCCTCTGGACGCAGGAAAGAATGAGATGTGCTGTTATGCCAATGACAGTATTGGAAGAAAAAAAGGAATGAAAAGAGTAAGACAACTTGCCATAATTTGACCACTTCTTGGTACAATGGACTAAAACTCCCTAGCCAGCACAGAGCCCCATTTGGCAGCAGAATCTCTATTTGATTATGATAAGCGATATCTCTCTTACATATACTCAAACATGCATATTACACATACATGTACACACCCACCCATTGAGAAATTAAAAACAGTATGGCAATGAGTTAGTTATCTTTTGGCCTAAAAACAGATACTTCCTTGATTATTCTAAAACCTTATGGTGCATACCTACTTACCTATTCACTATCTTCCTTTCCTTTCCTTTCCTTTCCTTTCCTTTCCTTTCCTTTCCTTTCCTTTCCTTTCCTTTCCTTTCCTTTCCTTTCCTTTCTTCCTTCGTTCCTTCCTTCGTTCCTTCCTTCCTGCCTGTCTGATTTATATAGCCAGCTTCCCCCCCCACCTTGGTGTATTGCTCTCTGTACTACCCTATCTTTCCTGAGAAAAGTGAAGATAGTTCTTGTTTCCAGTGGCCTGACATCATGAAAGGGTAAAAGCAACTGCATATTTCCTCTCAGAAGATATATTTTTAAAGAAGAATATTTGTAGCTCAAGGTTGAAATGAGGGGTTCTTTGTGTTCTTTGAGCATGGTTGTTTTCTTGAAGATGTTTCATTATCCAAACTATGGAGCAGGGTGGCTCACATGGTTAGGACCAGGGCTTTTTTTCTCAGAGAAAAGGTGGTGGAACTCAAACGTGGCCACGCCCTCATCAAACCCTAGGACCGCCCCTTTAGAGAACAGGAATGCAAGTAAAATGTGGGAGGGGCTATTTCCGGTGCGGCCGGCCCGGAAAAAGGTGCCGGAACGCGGTTCCGCCGCGTTCCGGCTGAAAAAAAGCCCTGGTTAGGACACTGGTTTGGAGGTTAGCAAGCTTGCGTTCGAGACCCAAGTGCTGCCATGGGGTGGAGCAAGCTCCAGTCCTTCGCTCCAGCTCCTGCTGGGGACATGAAGGAGCCTCCAATTCAGAGGTAGGCAACCTTGGCTCTTTTATGACTCGTGGACTTCATGCTGGCTCAGGAATTTTGGGAGTTGAAGTCCACGAGTCATAAAAGCCAAGGTTGCCTACCCCTGCCCCAATTGGGCATCCTCTAGGCAAAGGTGATGTCACTGGTTAATCCTTTCAATGCAGAAGAGTCTTGGTGCTTCTGACACGAGTACAATGCAATTAGCCAAAGTTGATAACATCATTATTGCAGAATCATCAGTGCTGAACGTACTTCTAGTGCAAGCTCGGAGAGCACCAAGGATCCCTCAGATATATTTTTAAATGTGAAAATACCTTTCCTGTTAAAAAGAAGCAAACTGTACTATGGATTATGCCTTCTTGATTAGTTGTAACAAAACTAAAAAAAATGTTGTTGCAGTATATTCCCTTTACAGTTGATTTAGACTGCTATTTTCCGTAGTCATGTCAATATGAGTTCATGTTGGTGAGAAAAAGGCAATACGTTAGTTTTTAAAATTAAAAATGAAGAAGAAGAAGAAACAAAAGAACATAAAACTCTGGGATCCTTGGTGCTCTCTGACCTTGATTTTTTTTCTTGCATACATTTCATTACCAAACTATGCAACATCATCAATGCAGAATCCTGAGTGTAGAATCATCGGTGTAGAACATAAAACCTAGAGCATAAAATTGATTTATGTTCACATATGAATTGTGCACAGTTTATTGAATTAGGATTTACCCATCAAAAGGTCCTGCAAAAAAAAATTAGCAAGAAAATATGCTCAGTTGGGTTAGTCCAGTAGTTCCCCCCCCCCCAGGGCTTTGTCTGTCTATTGAAGCTGTTTGTCTCCTTGAGTTTTTCTTACCGTCAAGACAAATTACTTAAATTGAAGCATTGAGAAATAACAGCATTCTTGTCTTTTCTCAAAGTAGTTTTCTAACTAGCTCTCCACAAGGTGTCCAGGCTACACTTATTCCTTGACTTCTCATTAGCCTAGCAGTTTTTCAGGAGCATCCAGTTTTATTTAGGTGGCTGTTCTTCCTGCAGAAAGAAATCGTTCAGTTGTGGCATACTCTGATTGTTGCTGGTCACAGAGTAATTGTCTGCTTCCTTCATTTGAGACAACTACTGTATTTTTCTTAAACTGCAGGCTAATAATAACAGATTTGTTCACTTGAAACTGATGTCATGCCTTTGCTGATTGGATGAATCACAAGGGGCCATAAGAAGTTAGGCAGTTCATACAGCCAATTACTGAATTTGCAGAATCCTCAAATCTGACATATGTAACTGAAAAACAAGCAGTTAACCTCACAAGGAAGGACATTCAGACACCGGCTCATTCCATACAGCATTAACCTTGTGAACTCTCAAGCTTCTTCCTTCCGTTATATATTCAAGATGGACAGTATTTAATATTTATTTGCTATGTATATGTAGGGGTGTGGGTCTATACATATGTTGTACATAGTATGTTTAGGTGTGTGTCATGTATGTGTTTCATTTTGAGAGCAGGCAACTAAATTTCATTTTTGATCTTCTTCTTCTTCTTGTGCCATATTCGTTATCGGACGTTGGTGATCATGTTGGCGACCCTGTTTTTATCAGCAGCCACACAAAAAAGTGCTGCTGAGTTTTGTCCAAACCAGTCCCTTAGATTTTGAAGCCATGATGTTCTTCTTCTGCCTGGACCTCATTTGCCTTCAATCTTTCCCTAGAGGATTAAATGGAGTATGCCGTATTTTTCTGGGTGTCGCATCACATGTCCGAAATATTCTAATTTTTGTTTTTTAATTGTTTTGATGATTTCCCTTGGCTTTCCCAGGCGGCTTATCACCTCCTCATTTCTGATCTTGTCAACCCAGCTTATACGTAACAGCCGCCTGTAAATCCACATTTCAAAAAAAATCCACATTTCAAATGCTTCTAGTCTCTTCAGGTGGCCTTCTTTTTGATGTGTAAAAAAAATGACAGTAAAGGTTATCTTATCTTACCTTTTGGTGGCAAATGAAAATATATTGCAACCATAAATCATGGACATGCCAGTGCTTAAATGTCTTCCTTGGGAGGTTACTGCTTGTTCTTCAGCTACATATATGCTACATATGTGGGATTTGGGAGAATAACCACCTGTACCACAATTTTCAGAAGCTGAAGTTTTATTTGAAAAAAAAAAGGATTTTTTGTATTCCAGTTTTGGAAATAATAATCAGACATTAGTCTTCGATTTTAGTTGTTTCTATTTATTTTTTTTTGCCAATCCTGCAGTTTCCAGATGTCAAACCTCCAAATCGGGTTTTTTTTGGGGGGGGGACTATCAGGTATCTGCTCTGGTGGTAGCCATGAAAATAAATTTTGCTTTTTATTTATTTATTTATTTTTTAAAAAGTCTGAATATATATACATGTATTACACCAACATGCTTCCAAATGTACCTTTTGACTCCAATTCCAGTGTGGGAGTTTTACAGTATTCAGAGCTCCCTGAAAATGGAAAAGAAAATCTTTCTAAGATTTCTCCTTCAGTCAAGGTGGTTAAGCGCACTTAAAACACTTTGCTGTTTTGTAAAATACTCTAATGGTCTACCGAAGATCTGCCTTAAAATAAATTTTGGACCCTTCTGTGTACCCATTGCTTTCTTTCCAGGTTATCTAACCATTTTTGCTTTTTCAGAATGAGAGAGGCTAAAGTTGATATTGCCATTCTTGGTTATATCCTGGTTTTGTTTTGTGTTTTTCTTTTTAGGTTAATGTGCTAATGATTGGAAACACAAAGGGTCCATCTGGAAGAGCAGACCTTTTCCATTATAACTGTTCACTTTTGCGTGGGCGGGAAGAGACAACTGTCAAAATACAATAGACAATAGAAACATCAAAATACCCACAACACTTTGTTCTTTTCAGATTTCTTATGCAAGTCATCAGGCAGACGGATAATACTATATGAATTTTATAAATTAAACTCCAACGTGTTCCTGAGAACTATTAGCTGTAGAGTACCTAATAAATTGTAAAGATAAATAAGCTTCAAGAATAATCATGCTGTGTATTCACGTAATTGCTGAGGAACTCTGAATGAATCCCTTGTAAAATCCCTTTAATTCATAAGCCTTTCATTAATTTGATAGCAGATTTCATAGATGCCTTCATAAAAGAAGCTCCCATATATCTCTTGGGCTTAGAAGGAACTGAGCTAGAACATTTTTTTTTCCATACAATGAACGGAGACCTGGAAGTTGTTTTTCTTCCACTTTTTTCTTTTTTTTTATTTTAGGTACAATAAACTCTTTGACATGAAACTGGCTTTCCCAGGTTAAAATGTACTTGCTGTGAGATTGTGAGCTGTAACTTTGCAAATAAATCAGATGTTGCCAACAGATTAATTTATGGACTTGTTTTTTCCCCTCCCTTAGTGCAAGGACTCTGCCTGGAGATGAGGTGCTAACTGGAAGCCCTTTGCCCCTTTGCCTTGTACTTTTTTACTGGTTGCTATGGAGATCAAGGAAGAAAAAAAAGAACGAAAGCAAAGCTACTTTGCCCGGTAAGGATATAATGATCCAAATTTATTTTATTTTACTAGCAGTGTGATGGATTCAAAACTCATTCATAGTCTATTCTATTACTTATCTGAAGTAAATTCCATTAGGTCTATTGAAGTATATTCTCAGGTAAGAGGGTATGTTATTGCTGTAATGCAAAGTACAGGTCATCTGTACATTTTTTTAAAAATTGGGCAACACACAAAGCAAATTATTGTTTAGTTCCAAAAGCCTTTATCAGCGCTTAACATGATTTACATCTGTTTTATAAACAGAAGTGGTCAAGCTTGAAGTCAAATGTTCTAATCCTATAAATTCTATTTTAGAATTAACTCAAACCCTACATTCTTACAACTGCTGTCATTATTATCCATAGAAAACATTCATAAACTAAAATAACTCCATGGATAATTTTTCACAAGATTTAGAATATTAATATGCTTCACTAGAGATAGGCATTAGCTAAGAAAAACCTCTATTATTCATATCAGTGGGAAAATATTTTATTAAATCTGTCAGCATGCTTATTATTGTGTTTTGGTTAAATAAGCTTAGGACTATGCTGCTGTGTGCCCATAAACACTTATTTGGTGTTTACCCAAATTTCCAAAATTCAATTTGGAAGAAATATGACTGCTAGAATTTTAATTGTTTTCAACCAACTTTTGTAATTCATGAACAATGAATTTCAATGTTACTCTTTTCTCCAGTAATGCCAAAAAATGACATTCAGTATTTTGGCATATTAAAATACATTTATGTTTTAAATATGATTAATGGCAAAATGGTATTGATTGAAGAATATCCTTCACAGATAGCTCTGACAACTGTGGTCCATTCTCTGTTGTCAGTGGCCATGTTGTAGAATAAATTGCCATAGAGTTAAGGAAACTCCCTTCTTATTATTATTATTATTATTATTATTATTATTATTATTATTATTATTATTATTATT